AGTCTATGGACTCTGACAACTGTACTGAACACTAGCCAAGCTCTTACCGTACAGTTTCAACACTGGAAAATTGCTTAGGTATGACCTATACTCAAAAAGACAGGATAAATCCAACTCAGCCAATTATTGACCCATCAGTCTACTCTCAATCATCAGTAAAGTGATGGAGTGTGTTGATGACAGTGCTTTGAAGCAGCACCTGCTCAGCAATAACCTACTTAGTGACGTCCATTTTGGATTCCATGAGGGCCTTGCAACTCCTGACCTCATTACAGCCTTGGTTCAAAATGGACAAAAGAGCTAAATTCCAGAGGTGAGGTGAGAGTGGCAGCCCTCGACCTCAAGGCTGGACTCGAACAAATGTGGCATCAAGGAGACTTTGCAAAACTGGAATCATTGGGTATCAAGGGGTAAACTCTCCACTGGTTGGAAACCTATCTGGCACATAGGAAGATGGTTGTAGTCGTTGGCGGTCAATCATCTCAGCTGCAGAACATCTCTGTAGGAATTCCTCACGGTAGTGTTCATGGCCCAACCACCTTCAGCTACTTCATCAATAACTTTCCCTCCATCATAGGGTTAGACGTGGGGATGCTCACCACTGATTGCACAATGTTCAGCACCATTTGCAACTCCTCGGTCACTGAAGAAGTCCATGTTCAAATGCAACAAGATCTGGACAAACTCCAGGTTTGGGTCGACAAGTGGCGAGAAACATTCACGCCACCCAAATGCCAGGGAATGGTCTCTCATTGGAGATGGTCATCTAACCAGTGCCCCTTTACATTCAACGGTGCTACCATCGCTGAATCCCCACTATCAACATCCTCGGGTTACCACTAACCAGGAACTCAATGGGACTTGTCATGTCAACAGACTGAATACAAGAGCTGGCCAGAGGCTGGGAATACTGTGGAGACTCCCCAAAGTCTGTCCACCATCTACAAGGCACAAGTCAGGAGTGTGGTGGAATACTCCCCACTTGCCTGGATGAGTACAGCCCCAACAACACTCAAGAAACGTGACACCACCAGGACAAAGCAGCCCGCTTGATTGGCACTGCATCCACTCCCTCCACCGAAGCTCAGGAGCAGCAGTGTGTAATATTTACAAGATGCACTGCAGAAGTTCACCAAAGATCCTCAGATAGCACCTTCCAAACCCACGACCATTTCCATATAGAAGAACAATCTTAGCATATATATGGTAACACCATCATCTTTTCGTTCTCCGCCAAGCCACTCACCATCCTGATCTGGAAATCTCTGTTCTTTCATTGTCGCTGGTCAAAATCCTGGAATTCCCTCCCTAAGGACATTGTGGGTCAATCTACCACAGCAGTTCAAGAAAGCAGCTCTCCACCACCTTTCTAGGGCAACTAGGGTCAGGTAATAAATGCTGGCCAACTAGTGATGCCCGGGTCCCACGAATGAATATAAAAAATGCACACTGATTCTGGACTCATCCAAGAGATGGAACATCTTTTCCATGTCCACCTAGTCAAGACCATACATTATCTTATACATTTCAATCAAGTCACCCCTCTGTATTCTAAACTCCAGTGGAAACAAGACCAACCTGTCTGACCTATCTTCAAACCCAAGTGCTTGGCAGCAACCATAAAATAACATGTTCTCCCTAATAAAGTCTCTAGATGTGGACCCTGTGGACTGCAATATTTATGGGTATGCGCCATTCTTCTCGTAGTCCATGGTGCATTTGGGCAGCTTTCCTGACAATAATACTCAAACTTTAGAAAATACAAATTCAAGAATCTGCAAAGCCAAACGCAGGTATAAAGAATTGCAGCAAATAGGGACCAGACATATACTGAGGGGTAGTGTCATAGGCCCAATCATCTTCAGCTGTCTCATCTTCCCTCTATCATAAGGCCAGAAGTGGGAATGTTTGTCACATATTGTACAATGTTCAGCACCATTTGCAATTCCTCAGATACTAAGCAGCCCATATCCAAATATGGCGTGACCAGAAGATTCAGGCTTGGCTGATGCACAGCAAGTAACATTCATGCCACAGAAGTGCCAAGCAATGACAATGACAATCTCCTACTGGAAAGAATCCAACCATTGCCCCTTGATGTTCAATAGCATTAGCATTACTGAATTTCCCACTGTCAACATTCTAGAAGGTACAATTGACCAGGAACTGAATGGGACTAGCCATATGAATACTGTGGCTACAACAGAAGATCAGAGGTTGGGAATTCTGTGGTGAGTGACTCACCTCCTCAAAACCTGTCCACGTCTACAAAGCACAAGGCAGGAGTATGACGGAATACTCTCTGCTCGCCTGGATGAGTGCAACTTCATTGACACTCGAGAAGCTCGTCATCATCCAACGAAAAGCTGCCCTCTTGTAGCATTCCATCTAACGCCTTCAATATTCATTCCCTCCACTACTGGCACACAGTAGCAGCATATGTACCATATACAAAATGCAATACAGAACTCACCAGAGCTTATAGACAGCACTTTCCAACCTGTGAATGTACCATCTAGAAGGACAACACAGTAGAGACATAGGGAAACCATCACCTTCAAGTTCCCCTCCAGTCACCACTCTGGCTTGGAACTCTAACACTGTTCCTTCACTGTCACTGGGTCAAAATCCTATAACTCTCCTCTTAACAGCGTTGAGAGTGTACCTACTGGGATGCACCAGTTAAAGGCAGCAGTTCAAGGGTAATTATGGATGGGCAAGTATAATTATTTAGACAAGGGATGATAATGTAGTTCAAAGTCTTCAGCAAATTATGTTCAAAATTTAGACTATGCAAAATTGAAGCCTGTGGTATTGAAGAGACAGCAGATACAAAACTGGTTAAGTAACAGAAAGCAACTGATGTTTTTGATAGATATTAATGGCGTAGTTAAAAACAGAACATTATTTCAAAGTTTGCAAATGACACAGTTCTGAGACATAATAAACAATGAGGACAGCAATAAATTTTAAGGACAGACCAGTGAAATGGTAAATGTAATTTAACTGAAACATTTTGGCAAAAACAATAAGAGGCAATATACGAGGATTAGGGTAGTGAGGATTATGAAAGTTTCAGAATTCACCATCAATATTCCGTTAAAACGATGATAATTTTGGAAATCCACATTTACAGAACAAAACAGCAATCCAGAAGTTGGTATCACTGATTTCATGCTTCGCCAGAGAGTGCACTGTTTAAGTAACCTGCCATTCTGCGATCACTGGGAATGTGCTCTCCTCTACAGTGGGGAGGGGGGAGACAGAAGGCAGAGTGGTGAGCTCTCTGGGGAAGACCTATATTTTGTCCGCAAAAATGATCCCGAGCTTCCTGTTGCTTGCAACTTCAACATACCACCATGTTCCCTGGCCAACATCTGTCTCAGGCTTGCTGCAGTACTCCAAAGTTCAGCGCAAGCTCGAAGAACAATGAATCATTTTCCGCTTGGGGACTGTGCAGCCTTCGGGGCTCAATATAGAGTTCGATAATTTTAGAGCTGGAGTACCTTCTTCTATGTCCTTACACCAAGCCCCAAACACCAGGCCTGGTCATCATCTGGGTTGTTACCACAACCATCCCATTGTCAGCTTTAATGGTCCCCATTAGCAGCTGTTGATTCCCCCAAGCTGACCTTTACCCATTCCTCTATCTGTCCAACTGTTGTTCACTCTCTGTGGGCTTCATCTCCACCTATCTTTTACTTCTCCCCACTCCCCCACCCCTTCTGAAGCATATACACCAACCTTTTCCTAGCTGTAATCAGCTATAAAGATGGGTCACTGGATACAAACCATTAACTCTGCTTTCTGTCCACAGATGCTGCCAGACCTGCTGAGTTCTCACAACAATTTCTGTTTTAATTGCTGATTTCCAGCATCCTCAGTTTTTTGTTTTTATTTATGAACACATTACGTAATTTTAAAGGGAGTCCACATCTTTGAAGTTGGGCAGACATGTTGAAAGGGTTATTCAAAAACATGACCTTGGCATTTTTATGTAGAGACACCGAATACATGAGTTTATGCTCTTTATTAAACATTGGTTAGGCTTCAATTGGAGTATAATATTCAATCTTGAGTACCTTATTTTAGGAAGGACGTTAATATCTTAAGAGATGGTGTAGGTGAGATTGACTAGAAATAGTATCAGAGATAAGCAGCAGCAGTCATTTGAAGGGAGCTGGTTTGCTCCAGGGAGCACAGATTTTTTTTAATGGGTCATGAGTGACAGGGTTGAAGTGGTGATCAAAAACATGAATTACTGTAAAAGAGTACATTAGGAGAAATGATTTCCAATGACAAAGGAGTTTATAAATAGATAAAAGAATTAGAAACAACTCGAGGAAACATTTTCACACTACAAGTTCCTGTGTTTCAAAATCCAGCCAGAAAGATTGGTGGAAGCTGTTTCAACAGTAAAATTCAAGAAGTTGGACACAAACTGCAAGTTCTCTTCCTAATCAATTCTTACCAATTGCCTGACAGTATCTGTGAAGAGAGAAATAGAGTTAACATTTCAAGTCCAATGTGACTTCTTCAGAACTAAAGAGTCATAACAATCATGAAATGTGATCTCTGTTTCTCTCTCCAAAGGCGCTGCCAGACCTGCTGAGTTTCTTCAGCATTCTCTGTCTTCATTTCAGGTTTCCAGCATCCGGATTGTTTGGCTCTTTTTTTTGAAACCAATAGCCTCTTGCTTCTATTCAAATTATAGTACCTTCTGAATTAAGATAGAAGGCATTATTTTTATGACGAAGCATAATCAAAATTTATCAATTAACATGTCCGTTATAACCCACTATATTGTAATTCTATACATCTCACATAATAAAGTCCTACATAACATCTCTCAGGATATGAAAATAAAAAAACTGGCGCTCCAGCTATAACATTACTCAAAAAAATTTCGTCACAGTGAACATTAACTGCAATTGTATACCTGTAAATGGATTTCTAGAACATACTATGTTTGTACAAAATTCTTAGGATTAAAAACACACCTGTAAAACAAGGATAAAATAGTCTACAGGTTTGTTCCGATAGAAGAGGTAATGTTCTGGGGCTTTTTTATTTCTTTCATCAAACTTCATTTCCTGAATAACATTAGGATGTTTGAGCAGCCTCAGTAAGATCTTCTCTGACATCTGTGTTGGGCTGAATGGCTCCACTTCTGAAATCATGAACAGAAACATCAGTATATTCAAGCGACCCAAGCCTTCTACTAGAATCAATAACGACCATCACTAAAGTTCAGGTAGGACAAAAATAGCCAAGTAAAAAAATTATACTTAAAAGTGATCCCGTGGCACCTATTCAAATCCATAGGACCTGCTACAAAGACTTCTTTCTGAGAAATTATTTAATTCTTATAGTTTTAAAATGAAGTCGACTCACTATGTTGGTGCTGAAGAGTCAGGCAATGTGATAAGTAAAAGTCTGCTTTCAAATTAGCACTACTTCCTGATGGACTGTAGGTTTTTTTAAAATTCTCGCAAAGGATATGGGAATTGCTGGCAAGGCCAACATTTGTTACACCTCCTTAACTTGCCTTGGACTGACTGGCTTGTTAGATCGTTCATCGTCATACAGTTTTACAGCAAGAAGAGTCACCCTTAGCCCATCAAGTCCACTTTGATTATCAACCAACTATCTACTTTAATCCCATTTTCCAGCACTTGGCTTGTGGCCTTGTATGCTACGGTGTTTCAAGTGTTCACCTAGATACTACTTAAATGCAAAAATCAAAATCCATCACCATGAACTTCTCAGGATTAAATTCCATTTTCTAATGTTCTGCCCATCTGACCAGCCCATCTATATCATCCTGTCGTTTAAGGTTATGCCTCTCGCTATTTACCAAGTACCACTTGTCACGTCATCGCCAAACTTATAATCAAGTCTCATATATTCATGTCTAGATCATTAATGTGCCCTACAAACAACAAGGTACCTTAGCAACAAACCTTATGGTATGCCACTGGACAGAGGCTTCCAGTCAAAAATAATCTGTGACCATCACCCTTCGCCTCTTACCAGTAAGCTAATTTTAGATGTAATATGCTAAACAGCCCCGAATCCCTTGGGTTCTTATCAAGAGTTTTCCTGAAATCCATGTAGGCTACAGCATATATATTACATTTTTTTAAACATAGCTAGTCATCTCAAAAACTGAATCAAGCTGTCAGACTTGATCTCCCTTTGATAAAACCAAGATGCCTATCCTCATGTCATCTTTTCTCCAAAGTGGAGATTAATTCTATCCCTGCAATCTCCTCCCTCAGCAGCCTGGGATACATCTCATTTAGGCGTCAGGATGTACCCAATTTTATGCCTGTTAAAACTACTAATATCTCCTCCATCTCAATTGTAGTTTGTTCAAGTATATCACAGCTCCCCCCCACCCCCATTTCTGCACCTACATTGCATCTATATTCATTATAGAGAAAGGACAAAGTGTTCATTTAAATCCTCATCTACATCTTCCAGCTCCACACAAACATTGTCACTTTGGTCCTTCGTGGGTCCTACACTTTCCTGGTTTGTTCTTGCCCCTATTTATACTCCTAAAATGCCATGAGACTTCCCTTTATCTTACCCACCAGCGTTTGTCATTGCCCCTCTTTGCCTTCCTTTTTATTTATTGAACCCCTGCACTTTTTATACATTTCTATGTTTTTGTTGTTTTGAGCCCTCAGTATCTACCATAAGTTTCCCTTTTTTAGTTTATTCAATCCTGTATATTTCTCAACATCCAGACTTGTTGGTTCACTCTCCCCTTTCACCTTTACAGGAAAATGTTGGCCTTGTACTCACTATTTCCTTTTTGAAAGACTCAAACTGCCCTAACATAGATTTTCCTACAAGTAGCTGCGTCCAGGCCACTTCAGCAAAATACTGTTTTATATTGAAATTCGTCTTCGTCCAATTCAGAAACTTCTTTCTGGTCAATCTTTGTCCTTTTCCACAATTACTCTAAATTTTGTTAAGTTATGGTTAGTATCATTGAAATGCTCCCCTTCTGACACTTCTACCACTTGTCTGCCTTCCTTCCCTAAAATCAAGTGTAGCACCACCCTTCTGTTGGCTTAAATGTTCTCCTAGATACATTTTTAAGAATTTCACCTCTCTTTCACACTCCATTTGTCCCAGTTAATATTGAGAAGTTGAAATCTTCTACTATTGTTATCATATTATTTTTACATTTCTCTGATATTTGCTATGCTCACTCGTTGACTGTTTGGGTCTATGTAGTACACTCTCAACAATCTGATTGCCCCTCAATTGAGAAACCATTTAAAATATAATCTACCTAGGAGCAGTAAATGAACCCTTGATTAATATTGAGACACCGCCTACTCATTTATTCACCTCTCTGTCTTGCTGAAGATTTTCCTGAAATACTGAGCTGCTGCCCTGTCCCTCCCTCAACCATGACTCCATGACAGAAAAGATACATCATACTAAGTTAATCAGCATCCTCAACTCATCTACCTTATTTGCAAGACTTCTTGCATTAAAGTAAATGCCATGTAGCCTTGCCATGTTCCCTTGTGCCTTAACTTGATGCCTTAAATTGACTATATACGCTTGACTCTCCAGACTGACTTCGGTCTCTTCTTTATTTATTCCTTAATCACCCACTATTGTATCACAACTCTACATCCCTTCCCTTTGTTAAATCAATTTAAACCCTGTCCAACAGGGGCAAATCAAGGATCTCAGTCCCGTTTTGCCTCAGTTGCAACCCAGATTTGTACATGTCTGCCTTCCCCAGTAATGAAACAAGTGATCCATGAATCTAAAGGCCTCCCTGCTGCACCTGCTCTTCAACTATATATTCACCTGCTCTATTTGCACCCTCCCTCTTCAGATTGCCCTGTAGCTGTTCAGTTAAATCCTCGCCCTAGGCAACATGCCATCCTGGAGTTAAAACTAACTCAGAGGTAGTAAGAACTGCCAATGCTGGAGTCAGAGATAACACAGCGTGGAGCTGGAGGAATACAGTAGGCCAGGCAGCATCAGGGGAGCAGGAAAGTTGACACTTCGACTCGGGACACCATTTCTTTTCTGGAAAGGAGAAGGGTCCTGACCCAAAGCGTCAACTTTCCTGCTCTTCTGATACTGCCTGGCCTGCTGTATTCCTCCAGCTCCACACTGTGTTATCCTGGAGTTAAGTCGGTCTTTACAGAAATGCCTGTCAGCACCCTTCATTATTGAGTTCTCTTATCACTATTGTTCTTCCTGTCCTTCTCCTCCTTCCTCGAGCAGCTGAACACTCCCCAGAGGCAATTTCACTCTCGGCGTTTTCCAACACAGAATAACTGTTCTGGAGTGAGATGTACTCTGGGGCTTTCCTGACTATCTACCTGCCTGCCTCCCTTCTTCTGATTGGTGGTCACCTGTTCCTTCCCTGACTGCAATTCCTGAAAACGTGAGGGATGACCATGTGTAAAAACGTGGTTTTCACATAACACAGCCTCTTGGATGCACTGAAGTGCGTCCTGGCAATGCTCAAGCTCTCTCTCTCTTATTCACAGTTCCAGAAAATTTCCTCACAGATATGGAATATTTCCTCACAGATCCGGAAGGTAAGTGAAAGGCACCCAGGTCTTTGCCTGTCTTTGTTCAATATCCCAGAATATGCTGCACACAGGTCTAACTTTTCTTGGGCTCCTTTTTTTTTTTTTGAGTGGAAAGGACCCATTGCTGTGGGCCTGGAGTCACATACAAGTCAGGTAACGATGGCAGATTTCCTTCCCTGAAGGACTTAGTGAACCAGATGTGTTTTTACAACAAATCAGTAGTAGTCACATCTTCAGATGAGCTTTTAGAATCTGATTGTTATTGAGTTCAAATTTAACCATATTCCATAGTGGGATTCAAACCATTAGCTTGGATGCTCTGGATTACCCTTCCAATAACACTACCACTGTGCCACCAGCTCCAAATGAAGCCCATTGATTTGATTCAGAGTTAATTGAATAAAAACCTCTGCCGCAATTGACAGTAAAATATGCCATCAGACAGACCAGTGACTTCTGTAAATACCAATAAAGGAAAATTGCAATTCCCTCTCCAACCAAGATATGTCATAAATCTTTTGTTTCTTATTTACTTCTGTCAATTTTCTCATCTTCAAAAGAATTTGAAATCCTGAGAAGAGTCATACTGGACTGAAACATAAAACTCTGTTTCCTTCCTCCACAGATTCTGCCAGACCTGCTGCGTATCTCTACCATTCTCGAAGTTTGTTTCAAATTCTTTACTTGGTAAGGATTAACAGTTACCGACTGCCATCTAATATTTCTTCAAAATGCCCATACATTTCTGTGCTGAGTTTGTTATTCAATTGCAACAACCAAGTAGAATGTAACCTTCTCTGGACATCCACAAGCGTGAGAGACTGACACATGCACAGCAATTGTAACTGGATAATAACTTTCATGGGAATCCTTGCCAATATTTCATTCCTTAGCCTAGGGCAAAAAAAGTTACCTGCAGCATTTACATATAAATTACATATTACCTCAGCAGTCATGAAAAACATTTTGCTTAAAAGCACTGTGAAACTTGAAATATTAAAAGAACAATTTAATCTATCCGGATAAAGGTAGACAATTAAGTTACAGCTCCCATTATAGAAATAGCTACAGTCCCACAGGTTTGAGCAAAATCAAGATGTGGAGGTGCTGGTACTGGGCATTTTTTTCCAGCAAGCAGTAGCAGTGTTCATCATAAGACCAATTCACAGAATTGAAACACAAAAATTAGCACAGTAAAACATTGCTTAAATACATTTAGATAGTACCTAAAGCTAAAATATGTCATAATTCAAACAAATGATCTACTGTGCTCACTGAGTTAATTGAAGTGGTGTTATCATTGTTACACTTGTTAAAAATGTTGCGGAAGTTTGCTGTTTCCAGACTTTTACAATAATGCAGACTCTACCAAAGTTCATGTTGAATACTTTAAAGAGTACTTATATTTTGATCCAACCAGGTTCATTGTCTGCATCAGGAAACGGAAATCTGAATACAAACTAGGTGGTAGAACAAGATCAGTCATCGTCCATAAATCTGGGAACCCTGTCTCAATTATGTTAGCAGTAATAAGTTTGCTGTCGATGCTTATAAAAATATTAACAATAAGTAACCTGGTCAAGTACAT